TTCACCAATAGTACTTTTAAGTTTATACCACATCATCGTTATTATTTCATAATCATTATTATTGTCTTTATTTTCAGCCTTGAACTTACGTCTGGTTTATTTTTTGTAGTTTTCATTTTGTCTCACACATCGCTGATTACACTCATACATATGTTAAGTAGATTAACTTTTGTAAATGTACTTCTGTTGACGACATATACACGTATATTTTCAATAGTTGGTTTGCAAAGATTAGATTTGTTTTGACGAGTTTACCCACGGATTGATATCAGTTAGAGAACCATTGAAAATCAAGGTGTACTAGACAGCTATTTCATCCTAGTTTGGGAATCATCGGTAGTACGCACCCAATAGGGTGAGAAGTCGTAACCAGTGAGGTCCATTCAGTCAAGTGTAAGGATGGAGTTCCCACCGATAACATTGGTTGGTGGTCACGCTAAATCACGAATTGGTAGAAGTTAGAATTCATGGGCTGGCCACTGAATCGGGACCCAGTGGCTGAATGGTGTACGAGGTTGCTTTGTAACCTGAAGCTCCTGAGTCCGAGTGCCAGTGTGTGCGTACTGCCAGTGATTCTCAGACTAGGACGAGACGGCTGTCCAGTACTCGTAGTTTTCAATGGTTCTCTAACTGATATCAATCCGTGGTCAAACTTGTTAAAACATATATGTATATATAAATAATCAGAACAAGACAATTCAGAGCGAACATTTGTTTTTTCTATAAATTCTTCTACAAGCTCTGCAGTTATAAATCCATAGATATTAGAATACAAATAGCCATTGAAGGCATGTGAAAATTATGTCGGAAACTGTATTGCGGTACATGTATAATATGTAGTATTTTACTACAGTTCGCGATTTAATCTCTATTTTATCACTACACCTGATATCTGTCAAACCTTGAACTTACATTCAATGTTCCCTCCCCATTTTTTGGTATTTGTTTGCATTTGTTTTATGCTAATCATTTTCCTCGCTTGCCATTGAATATAATTCATCCCCATCCTACCCCCATCACAATGAATCTTATATTCTGTTGACTATAAAGACATTGGCATATCACTCATTTGTCTATTCACACTTCACCTTATGTTCTAAATGACTGCACACTTTTTATATACGTTCATTTGAAAATATTGAATAAATAGCTATCACATTCCATAATATACATGTACCCCAATACACTTTCCGATATATATTTTCACACAAATATACTAGTCATGGATTTATAACTGTGTAGAGCCAGAAATAGAATTTATCGAAAACAATTGTTTGCTCAAAATTATCTTGTTCTGATTACACTATGGGGATTTTTTACTTTACACATCATTAAATTATTTCATCTCATCTTATCTCATGTACTCATTGACCATACATATTCAAAAACTAACTGACTATTTTCAAGAGTTGGTTTGTAAGGAATTAGATTTGTTTTTACGAGTTTGACCACTTACTGATATCAGTTAGAGAACCACAGAAAACCAGGGAGTAGTGGACAGCTATTGTCTGCTTAAATTAATGGGTTTATGGTTGTAGAACCTAAAGAAGAATTTCTTGAAACCAGAATTGTTCGCTGGAACCATTTTTGTTCTGAATAAATTATGGAAGAACAACAGTGTTTTATTGGGTAGATATGACAAATCATTGAGAATGAATCCATCCCCTCATCCCCATGCAGAACGACTTTTAGGTATATCACCAATTGTCTCTAGCCATTGGTTATTAAAGTCTCAAGTATCCCAACCCAAAAGTCGACACTTCAGCACGTCATTGGCTCAAACTAACTGTTATGGATTTAATTGACTGATGAAGCCATGTTTTGGTCTGACTACCACTAGCTGTTTTCCAACCTGATCGTATGTAAGCTAACATTGCCCGTTTGGGAAGGCTTGATTATATGAACCTCAGTAGGTGGAGTGGGCTTACAACCTGTGATCCATTAGTTAGGAGTCTACAGTCTAGACCAAGAACCAGTGTAACCCCATGGTTTTTGAGTTACATGAGGAACTAGTAACACTGTTGTAGAAAGACGAACTTCCTTTATCTGTTAGTTTGAGAACCAGTATAAACTAAAGAGTACTGTAAAACTGTTTCATTCCAGTTCGAGACTTTTCAGCAGCACCATTCAGGACCTTCAGTTGACAAAGTAAAAGTGCTAATCATGGATGAATGTTACTTAAAAGAATGAAACAGTTCTCCAGGTCCCTCTGATTCCCACAAGTTCCCAAAAGGATATTAGTTCTATCATATTGGTGTAGTTGAACAGAACAATAGAATGAAGTTTAACAGTCGCATTACTCTACTCCTGACTAAAATTAGACAGCTAAAAGTACACCGATTTATTTAATACAATTTTGTTACACAACAACAAAAATGATAACCTATACGTCTAGGTCATATTATTATAGTAACCACCACGTCACAGCAATTATCAGAAAACTTGATATTGTTGTGTATTCTATATATGTATAAAGGTCACTACTACTATTACTACTATTTCAGTGGTTTTAACTCAATGTTTATCATTTTAGTCATCATTTCACCACCCACATAATCTGTGTTATTTAACGTTGTTGTGCCGAAAAATTAGAGTTTGTTTCAGTAAAAAAAATGTGTAGTATGGATAAAATATGTCATTCTCCATTCGAAAAATGATCACGAGGCAAACGAAGGATAGATAGCTAGATAGGTTTTCCATACATTTATGTGCATTTATCAGTCATACTACTCCTACGGGGACAGTTATGTTGGGCATACTACATACTAGACAGCTTAGCCAAGTAACATCTTACTAAACATCTTCAATCGTGGTTTGGCAAAGGACACACAAATACCATCCGCAGATCCATTTTGTTACATCTAGTTCATTGACAGTGGAGAAAACGAAAAGTATTCAAGGTGAGATTTGTGCATCCTACTGAATCTTATCTTTCCAACAGACTTCGTATTCGTCCACTGCAAATAGCTGAGGTGATAGGCATTCCCTAAGACTATTAAGCCTAAACAATGCATTCAAAAGTCTGTCGTACAGCTATTATCCTTTCCTTTGGCCAATTAAGACCTAACGAACTGATGACGTCACTACCACCACCACCACCACCCTTTACGTATATTTTCAACCCCTCTTTTTTCATTATGCCTTAATGTATACATGTGTATATTAAAAATTTCTTTACGACGAAGGAATCTAACAATACAACATTCATCGCCATTTGAAAAGTACTCAAGAGTTATATACAAGATACGATCAAACCTATCAAAGGGAGTGAAATCAAGGCATCTTGGAATAGCTGAGACACTGGAGATCCGAAAACTCAAGCCCACGCTTTGTGTCCAAAAGAAATACGTCCAACCTCTGCCCCTACCGAGGCAGAGGTTATATATATTATATACATTATATAATATATATATATATATATATATAATGTTTTGCAGTAAGTTAGTAGTGTCATGGCTTAAACTTGCTCGAGAAGTCACTGTTAGTGTGACACAAAGCACAATGAACAGGTTAAATCGACGTCTGTATAATCTGCTGGACTATTTGAATCTTCATCCAACCCATGTGCATCATACTTTCTTTCATTCTTAGTGTTCTAGCCATTCAGTCATATCTGTGAGTTACAAAAAGTATTCAAGAACATTTTGGATTGTCTTTTAAACGAATGGTGCGCATTTCTTGGCGATGAAGCAAACACACTATGAGAGATTAGCTTAAGCTTCAAATGGAACCACATTGTATCACATGATATACTATAGATTTCTATTTTGGATTAGGAGAAAATATCATGCAAACATTTACGCTGAGAATTCTGTATATTGTATAAACAGTTAGTCGAGAATAAAGCTGTAGCTATTATGTTTCAGACGAATGTGAAGCGTAAGTTAATACGGCATGCCAAAGTGAAATATTTTATGACCTCAGCTTTATTTAGTTTACTTCATACACTAATATCAGCTAAATTGAAATGATATTTGGGATCCCCAGTAAATAGAATTGCCTCTCGTCACTTAGTAAGCTCTACCAAATCCTACACACCTGTAAGAGTATCATAATTAGAGGAATATACTTCCTCACCAATACATTCACAACTATCCGTTGTCGTAGCATCGCAGACTGCTAATCTATTTTATACTTTTGCTTGAGATGTCCTTCTATTATTATTATTACTATTATACCCTTGCTTTCTGAGTGGAACATAGGAAGTCACTAGCACCTCTCCACTTTGTCCTGATTTCGCGGTTCACTTCGGCTAGCCCCACGACTGTCCATATGCTCTCATCTCCTCCTCACGCAAGCTCCCTCCTTCATGTCACCCTTTAACACACTCCTAACTCGCCGTCTCCCATTCGGGAGGCACTCGGTTGGTGGCCTGGTGCGCAATGTCACCCGAAAGTCTCCACAGTGTGTGTGTGTGTGTGTCAGATTCATCTCCATTTTCTTCGGAATATTTCTTGAGCAATATGTTCTCGGCTAGTTCGTTCTCAGAGTTTCTTGCTACCACTCCTTTCTTGTTGGCCATCTGATATTCAATGTGGAGCCAGTGACTCATATAGAAAAACTGGCTAAACAGTGGTGTTGGAAATCTTGTTCTTCATACTGTGGAGTGCAGCAGATTTCCAAATTGACTACAGATTGATAAATGAAAGTTTACCTTTCCTTTCTGATTCAGACTAGTTTTGACATCCTCATCTGCGTCTCTCAAAGTTGAAATAAAGAGTGTGGCTTTGTCCAAGTTTATTCCGTTAGCTGTTGCTGTTACAGTTCGTTAGTTAGTTAGGTATCTTCATCATCTCCACCCTTTCTATGTATACTTGAAATCGTATCCACTTCGCCAGTTTCTTCTGTCAACTTTTTGATTTTCATCTCCTAACTTTGTTCTATTTAATACACAAACAGATCAGGTGTCTGTTCAAAAGCAATTAGTTATCATAATTAGATGTCCTGGGAAATAAAATTTCTCAAAAAAAGAAAAAAACTTTTAAAAATCATTCACTTACAACATTCTTTTCAGTCCATTCACTGTTGATATTTGATAAATAAGCATTCATTTCGGATAATTTGGATGTTAATACTAACCAATAGCAGTCACATAGTAAATTCCATGTTCTTTGTATATCTTGATTTATCCTGTTTTCAAAAGTTAAATAACATAATGCAATTGTTATTTCAGAAAAAATAAAAAATAAACCTCGATTGATCACTACAGTGTAACCAATGCTATGTATCTACTTCCTAATGCGGGTACTTAGTGAAAGTCGTTCTCAATGGCTGGCGTAGATGTATCCACTCCTTGTGACTTATAATTTCCAATAAAACTATATTTTTCTTCGATATTACTATTCTTTCTGCCTCATAGCTCTGTTTGCTGTCTCTGTTTTGTGTTCCTTTTTACTTTCATCTCTGACTTTATGTGCTGGGTGAAGTATGGCGACTCGAATTGCTGTACATCGGTGCAAAGTTCTTTGTTGAAACAAATAAGTCAGTCAGTCATTTAGTGGAAGTCATCAGCAGGCCAGCTGACTAGCCATCTTGATGCATTTTGGATTTATGTTATTTGATGACAGTCAGTCATCTAAGACTCTACAGCCGCCTCACATCAATTCGAAAGTGGATCTTACTTGCTCTGATTGTAGTTACATACTTGTAACTCTAAAATTATACGACTAAATTTCAAGATGAATAGAGGATTAACTGCTATAATATGTATAAAGAACAGTGGAAAACACGAAAAAGTTCTCCTTCTACCAATATTAGAGAGGTTTCGTGTGCATTGTTACAAAATTGAAGAATTCTAGGTGACATGTTAAACATGATCTGGATTTCAGGAATCCATGTTGGTTCGGACTTATGATGTTGCAGCTAAGCATATGTTTGATTAAGTTATCTTTAACTAGTCTCTCCATAATTCCAGATGCTATAGGTGTGATATTGATTGGCCGGTAGTTACTGACTTCAGTTTTCGAGCCAGATTTGTGTTTAGGCATAATGAATGTTGTCTTCCATATGTCAGGGTAAGTTTAGGTTTCTAGGGACATTGTGAATATTTTAAGCAGCAGTAGAGGAATGTCAGGGCCAGCATATTTATAGAAGTAAGATGATATACCGTCGGTACCGAAACCTTTTGAACTTTTGAGGGTTCTTATAGTTTGGTTAATATCAGCGTAAGTGAATTGAACAGTGCTAATTTGGTTTGGTGTGAGTGGAGTTGGAGTTTGTGCCATTTTAGTAATAGGGTGTATATCGAGTAGCTGGACTGAGGGCTTAAGGTAGTTACCTGCAAACGTTTTGTTGAATAGTTCACATATGTCTGCAGAGTTAGTGCATAGCCTGCCTTTGTCTATGAGGAGAGAAATGCTGTGATTTTTGCGATTCATTCGCTTCCTTAAGATTTCTGTGAGTGCATACACTCTAGCAGGACTGGCTACTGCGATGCGTTCTTCCTTTCTCATACGGAAATCTTGAGCTTGTGTGATGGAGCTAAGGGTGTTAAGTATTAGACCTAGAGTGCCAAAGTCGTGGTGTTTGAAGTAACTTGTTGAGAGTTTCTTCAGTTTCTTACGATCCTTTGGTTTTATGAATGACTTTCTGTGTGGGGAAACCTTTAGTGTTTGGAGTGGAATGACAGCATCTAAGCGTATGTTTGAGTTATGGTAGAAGATGGTTAGGGCTCTCGATAGGTCATCAGTAGTGAAGTATTCATCCCATTCGGAGGATCTTAGCATCGATTCAACTAAGGCCCAGTTTGCCTTACTATAGTTCCTATATATTACTTGTTGTGAAGTGGAGGTATGAGATGCATTGCTACTCAGCGGAATTGGCAGTGCACACATTACTGTTTTGTGGTCGCTCCCTGGGAACTCAGAACCTACTAGCGTTGAAAGGGGGCTTATATTGTGGCAGAAGATTAAGTCTAGTACGTTGTTACCTCTTGTGGGAGTAGTGACAGTTTGTTTCCAGCCAAGTATATCCAGTGTGTCTAAGAACTTATCAAATTTAGTTGGACCTGTGGGTATATCCCAGTTGATTTCAGGTAAGTTAAAGTCCCCACATAGGATCTTATGATCGTATTGTAAGTCGGTTAATTGCTCCAGAGTATTAATAAGTTGGGTCTCGTAATTACTAAAGGTGCCAGGTGCTCTGTAGGTGCATCCAATTAATGCTGTTACGTTATTTAAGTGTACATTAACCCATAGAGTCTCAGGCATGTTAAGTGTACTACTTTCTAGCTGTGATACAGTAAGTGCATTCAGAAAGTACATGAGACAACCCCCTCCCTTACCACCTTCCCTGTCACACCGAAAGTGTGTGTAGTTATCTAAGCTTATTTCTTCATCCAGGATGTCCGAATGACACCAAGATTCAGTGATGACAATTACAGGGGGTTTGTATATTACTGTGAGTGCTCTGAGCATCGGCAATTTATTTAGAACAGATCTAGCATTTATGAGGATTACGTAAAGATGAGAGTTGAAGTAGCATTTGAAGTATTTAAGTTCGTTAGTCAGCCCCGAATATGGTTCAGCACCCAGTAGTTCTGCTGGACAAAAAAAAAAAAAAAAAAAAAAAAAAAAAAAAAAAAAAAAAAAAAAATGACGATCCTATGTTAAGAGGAGTTTCAGCATCATGCTCACCTATGTCTATCGAGTTGTTGTGTGCTGTTTTCGGTGGAGAATTAGGAGTTGGAGTACTGGATTTGCTATAGACTAAGGAACTTTTATTTTTAGTTAGGTTACAGAAGTGGGTAGGGTTCTTTATTTGGCCTATACTTGTGCAAGTGTCAAGTGTGTCCAATGGATACGGGTGCACTAGACCGTTCCTGTTTTCATGCAAGGAGGGAGCCAGCACTAGTGGTTTAGGAGTGTTAACATCCCTACCAGCTGTTTTTCAACGCTGACAGGGACGCGGGGGATAAAAAATGATTGGATCCTTGTGATGACCATGGCTTATTATTCCACCTATTGTTTGATGCTAGTTGTGTCCTTGTGTGGGTTTCGTGTGTACTGCATTGTGGGTTAGTTCCCAGCAGACTTGTACCATATATCCGGTCGAAATTTGTTTGTGTGCCATACTCTGAAGACCCTGAGTTGTTGGTAGCCGAGTTCTGACTATTACCACTTGTACTATTTAGGGTGACATCGTTGTGACATTGGATATTAGTGTGTGCCACGGTGCGATTTAGCACGTTGTGAGTGCTAATACTATTAACCGTGGGGAGTGTGGGCTTATTTAAGCTGCCACTGTTTTTGTTGGTATGATTTAGGGGCATATTTTCCTTATCTTTACCAATGGAATTATAGCTAGGAGAGGACAAAGTCGAATTTTATTATTTATTTGGTTACAGTCTAGTGGCCTTTCGGCCGGTGTTGCACTCTGATGGGATATTTCTGTGTGTTTTGAGAGGGGTGATGCGGTGGGGTCTACTGTATCTTTCACAGGGTTGGGAATAATGGCTGCTTGCAATGTCCTATTACCTATTTCACAATTAGTCTTAGTGAGATAGTTGTGTGCGCGCCTTTCTATAACTGTTTTTTCCACCCCGACCTTTATATGTTTGTAGTTTCTGGCTTGCGATAGGGTGTGTTGGGAGTGAATGAATTTTCTGGTCTCTGCCGGTGTTTCGAACTGAAAACGAATAGGACAACACTTTTCATGTTGACTCTTCTTCAGCCTGTAGCACTTAGTCTTGGAGTTAGGCATTTTCGCTTCACTAAGTAAGATGCGCTGTACCTTTTTTAGTGCCTCATTGTCCGGAACGTTGTAGACAATAGCACTCAGTTTTGCATCGAGTCGTTTTGTTACTTCTGTGGTAACAAAGTTAATGAGGTTATCTACCTTAGTTACCGATTCTGTGTCAAGCTTGTTAAGGTTTACCGTTTTCATGAGGATAGTTAGAGGTGTCAGTTCACAGACCTGCGATCTGATATCGCTGATCTGATCTGATAATTTGGATATCTCGGTATTGGTTTCGATGTTTCCAGCATTTACTGACTTGCTGTTTTTTATTTCCCTTAACTCAGCCTTAAGTTCTCCTATAGACAACTTTAGAAGTTCTATTTCTGAAGATAGTACTGAAAAAGAGCTTGATGGCTGGAGTTTCTCCATAAGCACATAAGGTGAAGGGAGGAGTTCTGTATGAGCAGAGGGTACCGAATTTTTAGGAGTAGTGCTAATACTGGCTGTCAGTACAGTTTTATCCTCAGTTTCAGCTCGACGCTTACGGCATACACGTGAGTTATGTGACTCACTATAGCCGTTTGTTGGGGGTGTGTTGCTTGATGTAGCAATCAAGGACGTTAAATTAGACACCAGTTTTACAGGGGATTGGGTTCGTTGCTTTTTACTTTGATTAACCATAACTATTAGAAATGAGAGTTAGTGGTTACAAGAATGGAAGTGGTATAGTACTTGTGCAAGTACTACAACAAGTTAAATTTTATGTAACGAATCACGTAAAAATGTAACGCAAACGTCGAACGTACCGCGATACAGACTTCACGTCAAAATTACTCGGAACCGAAAATGGTGCGAACTGCTTCACTAGATGTGACACCCTGGGATTAGAAACACTATGGCTAAGACGCCTGAGACTAAATTTAACACTTTACCATAAGCTTCTAAACCACTTAGTTTTTACCTCTACTAATGGCACTCGACTTTCAGATGACAATGGCTACAAACTAAGACACACCAAGGGTACAGTAGCCATCGAACAATGTAAAACAGCTACCAGGCAAAAGTTTTACTTGATTAGGTATGCACAGATATGGAATAAACTACCAATGGAAATGCGTCAAGCAGGTACATTGGCCTCCTTCAAAAAAGTGCTTAACGACAAACTACAAGAGTTTGCAAACGACAGTAGTCCTAGTTCCTATCTGAGAGCCTCCGAAATTATAGGTCCATTTAATGTATAAGCTTAAATACTACACCTGTTGTTTTTGCCTATATATATAATTTTAGATAAAACATTAACGATTAAGATACTTACCCTCAAACAGACAAGAAGTTTCGTTTGTAAAACTTCTACCCAACACAACAAGTGGAATAAAATGGACATAAACCGACAACATGGAAAAGATATAACTCACCACAACATCACATGGGCAGATGTACGCTCGTCGGACATC